TTAAAAATTATTATTATATATGTAAAAGTATTATTATTATTAATTAGTTTAAAAGAAAGTTCTAAATTTCTTCTCGCAAATGTTTGTCCAAAGGACAGTGTGGACTGGCATCCTTGGCAAAGCCAAGGAAGAAGTGAAAGCCGTGTATAAAAAATGGTATCCTTGGCTTACACGTGAAGAGATTGCTTGGAAGTTTCCAAGCGAGGTGTGCTTGAATGAATAAGAAAGGTGAAGCTGATCGAGACTAACTATGTTTTTCAGGCAACAGTATGCGAAGATGAGTGCAGTAGTGTTTGAGTGGATTGCAAAATTGAATTGCAAGACGTTTTTCAGTCACCTAAATAAGTTTCTTGTAAACATAATTTTTTTTCATATTCAGTGTATTCAGTTTAAGCCCTTTAGCATGGGGGCATTTTTAGAGTCTGGGGTTTCTGTCATACCTAGAGCAAGAGTTCTCTTCCAGGACACACTCTCATTCATCTGATAGTAATAGCAATAACTTAAAAAAAGAACTTACAGGTCTAAATTTGTAACAACTTTTTTACCATTCTTAAAGAAACTATCCTGGCTTTATTTGCAATATGTTGATAGATGTTTCTCCAAAATAAAGGAATATAGTCTGTGTTTTCAGTTTTATGCTTAGTTTTCAGGGCTTGTTATTGCTTGGCTTGCTCATTAGATTAACGTGAATGCTAGGGGAGTGGGATAGCAATTGAATAATTCATACCAAAGAGAGCAGATGTTAGTGAAATAAATAGGTGAATTTGCACATTACCTGTGGATTTTATTAATGATTTTTTATTCAGATTATTCCATTAATATTTTAGTAAACAAATTTTAGAACTAAAATATTATTTGCTTGTACACAATACTCTATTAAAATTAGGTTTATCAATTTTTTTCTATTTTGTGGTGAAAAGTATCATCTAAGTATCACTAAATAACCTAATGACAGAAAAATGATGGAAAGTATGTGCTTTACTAAAGAAAAGAAAGATATTTCCATTGTGAGTTTAAACTTTCCCCCGTCATTCATGTTACTTTTACATTTTCATTTAATCAAAAGTATTCCCTTTTTGGCAGAGTATGTTGCAGGTATAAGACGTTTGAAGCTGCTCTGTCCTTTGGGAAATGTCTAGGGATGGAATCTACTAGTATCAAATAGTGGAAAAAATGGAAGTAAAAAATATTATTTTAGGTTTTGTATGGAGAAAACACCCATATTGTTTTATCTCTTCTGATCACTGTTCAGATTAAGATAAGAAATAATCAGGATTTTCCTTACTGTGTCCTGAGACACAGTTGCAGCTCCTGATATAAATTGTGTCCAGGAGCTGAGCTGCTAGTTGCTGTGGACATACCTGTTATAAATAAATAACATATTTAGAAAACAAAGCTGTATTTATCTTTGGAATTAGTAAGGAAATTGTGTTATGACTGTGTTAAGCTGTGATGGCTAATAAATTGCTCTCCAGGGCAGCTAGAGGGAAAAGGGCTGTTGAAACAGCATTTCTAATGTTTTTTGAACAACTGAGGTGAAAGGTATGTGTTTTCCAAGTCAATCATCAGACTGAAAGCTTGAGTTGGTTCCTGCTCTGATATGAAGGTAGGCTTTAGAAGAAATGCTATGAAATGCTACGAAACCCAAGTTTTCTTTGGTAGCAAGAGCAATAATCCCATGTGAAATTGCAAGTCTTCCTTTTTCTGCAAGAACTTTAACAAAGTCTTTCGGCAGCGTGCTCTGGAGTAGCACCCCACCAGCGGTGCTGGTGGCAAATCTGGGATTTGGGTTGCAATTACTGTATCTCTGAACCCTCGGTGAAGAAATGGAACTTTTGTTTTCTCCTTTGATAGCTGGAAGCCACTTGTATGAAAATCATTAGTAAATTGCTTCAGAAACCTGTAAGGGGATTACTTTGGAGGGGCAGAAAGAATTTTTCAAAGGCAGTGTTTATGCATCTTCTTCCTTTGGCTTACCTGTGGGGTGCCCTAAACCTATTATTGTAAGAAAGAGCTTTGTACTGTTTTAACCCGTCTCTTCTGCATTTCTGGTGCATCTTTGACTTCAGTGGTTCAGTTCTAATGAAGAATTTCTTGGTCTGTTGGTTATTTAATGCCCAAATCCTATCTTGGCCTTCATAAAATTTTAGAAGGAATTTTTTGGAGCTGTGTAGTTGCTGCACGTCCTCATATATCTTCAGTGGGTCCTAAAACACTTCTTCATTTTGAAGTTCAAAGGAAGCAGGAGGAGGTGTAGCGCTCCGCAGTGCCGGTCTCCTCCCGTAGGAGCACTTGCTGGAATTGTTTCACCAAGAGCAAGACCAAATCCCATTCAAAATGTGCACTCACACAGTAGAAAGAGCACTGGGCAGTCTGGGCATTATAGAAATATTACGTACTACTTTATCCCACTGAACGCGGGATGGTCGGCCAATTGATTCTCCTTAGCCACCCCACACGAAGCACCTGATCCTGTGACCTGGGGTGCGGAAGTCTGAGGTTTGCCTTGCTATTTTGGTGAGATCTTAGCCGGGAAGCAAACATTCCGTGGGTGGTATTTTTAGCTGACTAGCTAACGTGTGTCCAAGCAGATTAAAACCTTGTAGCTCACTTGCGTTAGCAATGCAATTCTGATTGCCCTCAGATGGTAATCAGAGAGTAGCCATGGGTTTTTACCTTGTTTCAGAAAACTGTAAACTTAAATATGTTTTTATCACTGGTCAGTCTTACCTATATAACATAAATTGTTTTACATAGTGTTATAAAAAGGTACTTAAATTTTCTGCCTAAAATACTACCTCCCCTTTCAGGAAAGTTATCACTGCTGTAAAAATACCCCGTTAAACTTTCACCATTGATACGACTGTAATGTGATAGAATGTTTTAGGTTGGCTGTTTTGTAAGTCTGTCATATCAGTCCAGTTACTTTTGCTTCGTAGCCTAGGGACCTACATTTGCAACGCTTATTTAAGTGACTACTGCCATCAAATTTAATAGGACTGTAGCCGTGATTTAAAATAAATATGCAAGTAAGCGTCTGCATCAGTCCTGAAAAACGTCTTGACCTTCTAGTGAAATCAGTGGCATTTCTGTGAAGGGGGACTTGAAAGCTCAGGCTGTATGGTGTCCAACTTTCTCCTAACTCTTAGCCAGATTTAATCAAAATGACCACTAACTGGACAACGGCTATGAATTTTGAAAGTAAAATCGCTTAAAGGTTGTTTTTAAACAACATTAAAATCAGTAAATCATTCAATAGAAATGTCACTTAAGCTCTGTTTTGTAACTCGTGCATCATGAGATGGGCTAGAACTTCAGTGCACCATCCGAATAGAAACTTCAAAGACTATTCACCTTCATAGACTGTAGCGTCAGGTTCAGTTTGCTGGCGGCACAGTTTATTCTGTTTGACTCCAAGAGTGGAAGAGCTGTAAAGAGGAGGAGTTCCTGGTAAAAAGATGCGGGGATTCAGGGAAAGTTTGGGAGCAGAGGAGAAGACTGTGAACATGCTGCCCTGCCAACGGCATCCTGGCCTGTATCAGAAGTCGCGTGGCCAGCAGGAGTGGGGAGGTGATCGTGCCCCTGTACTCGGCCCTGGTGAGGCCGCACCTCGAACACTGTGTTCAGTTTTGGGCCCCTCACGACAAGAAGGACATGGAGGTGCTGGAGCGTGTCCAGAGAAGGGCAACGAAGCTGGTGAAGGGTCTGGAGCACAAGTCTGATGAGGAGCGGCTGAGGGAACTGGGGCTGTTTAGCCTGGAGAAGAGGAGGCTGAGGGGAGACCTCATCGCGCTCTACAGCTACCTGGAAGGAGGTTGTAGCGAGGTGGGGGTTGGTCTCTGCTCCCAAGTAACCAGCGATAGGACGAGAGGAAATGGCCTCACGTTGCGCCAAGGGAGGTTTAGACTGGACATTAGGAAAAACTTCTTTACTGAAAGAGCGGTCAGGCCTTGGAACAGGCTGCCCAGGGAAGTGGTGGAGTCGCCATCCCTGGAAGTATTTAAAAGACGTGTAGATGAGGCGCTTAGGGACATGGTTTAGTGGGCATGGGGGTGTTGGGTTGACAGTTGGACTCGATGATCTTAGAGGTCTTTTCCAACCTTAATGGTTCTATGATTCTGTGACATACGTTGACTGTGCTATCTGTCTTGGCCAAGGGTTCTGTGAATAACAACTATTGATGAAAGGTGTCGTTGGTGTGGCATCCCTGGTTATATTCCCATATCCCTGCACATAACAATTTTAAGAAAAACTCCTGTGCTCGGGCTACGTTTGGGAACACGATGAGCGTGCCTATGCTGTTAAAGGACCTGCCTCCCCAGTTTCCCCCCTGAGTCCTGGTTCCCTAATCATCCACCCTGTAGGTGTATTAGTTGGCTCTCAGGCTCCTCCTGGCATAAAGCAGCAGGTTTTCTCTGAGGTGAGACCTGGGAGCAGTTCAGGGGATGTTCAGTTCGGGGGACCACTCTCCTCGGGCAGCGGGGAAAGCCTGCGCTGGGGGTGCTGCTGCTCCTTACAGCCCCCCGCTACATCCGAGCAAACCTCCATCCCATAAGCCTTGTCTCAGGCCACGAGCCACGTTGTGCACAACTGACTCGTGGCGAATTGAAAAAGAAAAATCCCTCTTCTTTAATAGCCTGTGGTCCAGAATTCATGTTATTTCAGGAAGTTTCACCCAGAGAAAACAAACGCGCGCACGCGGCGGCTTTGGGTCGTGGTGCACCACGTAGGAGCAGGAGAAGATGGCGGGCAGGCGACGCGTGGTGCCCAGGCTGCTGGTGGGAGACCTGGTGCAGGCAGCGTGTAAGCTCTGCTGTCTCGCGCTGCCTGGGGGCTGGGGCACAGGCGCACCGACAGAGGAGTTTGGGGTGCGGGGGATAGATTTTCAAAGGTTCTTGGTATTCTCAAGATCTCCAAGTCCTTAGTTCTGTGGAAAATTAGCTACGTGTTCAGTTTTAAAACTGCATTTAAGTCCTAATTAGTTTAAGTATGCAGCGAAGTGCTAGTCTGAAGAAGGTTGTTTTCCTGAACTGGAGCTTTGTACTATCCAAATGTTATCTATACCACCAAGAAAGCCTCCATAAAATTCCTTGCTCCTTTTCTGATACTTCTATGCTGACATTCAGACTGGAAAAATGTCAAAACTAATTAAAAAAACCCACAATTGTGGCCACTATTTATATTTGAAAAATGAGTAGCTGGAAGAATAAGAATTGAAATAATCTAAAATATTTTGAGACATCACCTTCCCTGCTGAAGAAAAGCTGCAGATGATTAAAGTAGGCCTGCGTCAAATGGAAGTCAGGACACAAAAGTGAGAGCAGTTCTGTTGTCTGTGCCAAGGAATCTAATGATGAGCAGGATAAGAACTGGGGCTTTCCATGTGCTGCTTATTGAAAACATATAGAAAGAATCTTGTCGTACTGTCTAGAAGAAAGTTTCCATTAAGAGACCTACTGTCCAGAATAACCTGCCGAGTTAAATGGGACACAACCTGGCGAACTTCCAGTTCCCCAGTTAGGAAGAGAGTAAATCTAGACTCAAGTTCTTCTGTTCAAATAGATCCAGCAAATTTTATGCCTTGATTATAAGCACCAATATTAGCAAAAAGGATCACCCCCAGGACAGAGCGCGGTTAATACGATAATCACTTGGAAGCATTACAAGTTGTTTTTTTCTTTCCAGTGTTCGTATTCTCTTGCTTGCTATGAGAGGAATATGAGGAGGGTTGCTGCAGGTTTATCTCCTGTGGGAAGTGCTTCCCGCCTGCAGCTGGCTGGCAGAGCTCCTCTTGCGCTGGAGAGGTGAAATCAGAGCCAGATGAATGCAAACGTCAGAATAGATGCTGCGTAATTTCTTAGTGGCTTGAAATAGATAAAGCGTTCCTGGATGATGGGTGGCAACACCACCAGCTTTCAGAATCTGCGGGTTTGCACTGTGGTGAAGATCAAAGCTGGACTTATACCTGCGCTTATTAGGGTAAAAAAAAAGCGGTTGACTAGCGCGCAAAACAGAAAAATCCCATATTGACATGATTTAATTAAGTAGTTTTACCTGACATCTGGGTTGAGTTAACTCGGGAATTTTCTAGACTGTATGAAGTGTTTTGAGCTCTTGACAAACAGTACAAAAAACCCCCACTAAAATAACCCCTTTGGATCTAGGAATAAAATTAATCTCTAATTTGGCTTGTCTCAGCCCTGTTAGCCAGGAAAAACTTCTCTCCGTGCACTGGCTAATCCGTTTCCCTGAAGACGTTGATTACTCTCAGGGAGTTCCCGGGGACAAAGGATGAACTGGGGTGGGCATCGTGAGCCTCACCCCCGAGCCTTCCCCACCCGGTGAGCACGAACAGGCACTTCAGCTTCTTGCAAACTCCGATTCCGGGGCCATGTGAAATTGCTCACAAAGCTTTTTCATAACCGAGACCCTCAGCTTCTATCGATTAAGCATCACTGGTGTACTGTAGATTTTATTAGGAGTGGGAGCTGACTCCTCTTCTAGAGGTTAGGGAATAGTGAATAAGCCACGGCAGCTGCTTCTGCGGCCTTAGAGTTATTCCTCCTCCTCCGAGGGCTTTGCACGGGCTGTCTACGTGGTTGTGTTCCAGCTGTCGAAGGGCAAAAGCTAACACGCTCGGTGCAGAACACAGGGGATGTGTTTTATTTTTAAGAGTGAGATTTCTGAATGCTCTTTCAAAAATGAAGCTTTGTATAGGCAGGATTTTTTTTTCTCGGTATAATGCCATTTTTAGACTAGATCCCATCTCGGAAAACAGTACGTAACCTTACGAGTAAGCTTTTCTGAACAGAGATAACATAAGAAGAGGCTTTCTTCAGTTTTAGCATTTGTTTCTCAGATCCTAAGGTTTCATAGAGATCTGTCTGTATAGATAATCAAAGTATTTCCCCAATGTAACCGTTTCCAAAATCTGATGGAACTTAATGTTTCTGGATATGCTGAATACAGGGATTAGTTACAGTTGTTAATCTAGTTATATAGTTAATAATTGTTATTACTTAATTATGCTTTGTTGAATGCTACCTTCATACCAATTATTATGGAATTGCTTACTTTACTTTGAATTCGAGCGCCATCATCTATTCTGAAAAATCATAAATAATTTCTATTTGTTTATTTCTGGAGTGAGTTAGAAATGTCAGGGGACAAAATTCCCCTGGTTTAAAAACAGTCCCCTTAAAAAAATCTAATTACTGGTATTTTATAGGATGAAAAACTGATAGCCGTTGGAAATCTCCGATTCCTTTACAGCTATTTTCCTTATGTTACAAATGTAGTTATTTTAGGACCTGGTTGCTATTTCTCGTTATTGTGGCAAGAGAAAACAACTTGCTTCTGAATCAATGTTCAAAATGTTGACTAGCAAAACGAACTTTAAGTTTACAGGATGCGTTTGTGCAGCCCGTAGCTCTAGCAGAAGTTAGACCCACAAATCTGACAAGTCGAAGGGTTCGTCAGCCGCCTGCTGTGTTTTGAAACAGGATTGGCGATCCAAAAGGCAACGTAAAGGAAGGTTTCCCCCTCTTGTCTTTGGAGGCTTGTCGGTTTTCGTGGTGATAGAGTTACTTTCTTGGGAGGAAAAATCTGATGGAATTTGGCATTTGTTTTGAAGAAGTCTTCTGTATTCACAAGGAATGTGTGTGAAGTCTGATCCCTTGAACAGAACTGGATTCAAATATTAGGTAGTTTTGGGGGGCCCCCGGCTCCAAGGCTCTTAAAAACTTAGATCTGTTTGGCTTTTGCTCTCGTTTTGTTGGCTTCTTTATAATTTGATTAGTGCCTTTACTGCTTCGGTTACAGTGAGACAGAGCACCAGCTATTAATTACTCCCTCCTTTAATCCAAATGGAAAGCCGCTAACGCTCCCCGTAGCGCTAACTATAGACTGAAGTAGCACCGTGGTCATGATGAGGTCGCCAGTGTCACGTGTTGATGTCACTCAGTAGGTTAATTCATTTTCATGAATTCATAGGCTATAAAGCAACATCAAGGGAGAATGTTCATAATCTGAAATTATTTTTCTTTTTTCAACCGTCCACTTTATTTCTTTGTGGTATTTTTGGGAAAAACGTCAGCAAACCTTCGGACTTGAGGAGGCCATCCCCAGCTCTCTAACGTCCCCTTTCCCAAATCCTTCTTGAAAAAAAGGGGTTGACCACATGCACTTTTTACTTCCCCAAGAGATTCATTCAGAGGAGAGAATTCGCAGCAACCTTAGACTGACGTCTGTTAAAGAGACGGAGAAAAGTATTTGACTTTAACAAAGGCTATGATATTGCTTTTCAGTCTCAGCCTCTACTGGTGTGTGCAGATGCCGCCTTAACTCTGGCAAAACAGGCAGAGGAGTTAGCACGACCATGCAGTTTGTCACAATAGCTTTTTAATTTTCCTTGTGTTTGTAACTTGTGCTTTGCTGTTGACCTGTTACATATATTTAAGCCAGTGAACACAGCGTCAGGGGGAAGAACTTGGTAAAAGTGCGTTGCGTTTCATGCTTCAAGAGAATGTCGAAACACTAGAAAAGTAGATTTTTGTGTTGTTTTGTTTTTGGTGACTTTCATGATGTTTTTTCTGTAAGTTGCTTAAATGCCATTCTAACCTTGTGTGGCAAAGGCAAGAGTAATTAGAAACTCGAATGCTGGCAAATCTTCCTGGAAAGGGTTGCATCCCAACTTCCATCAGAGTCGATGGGAGTTACAAGGGGTCAGACTCTTAGTGTAAAGGAAAGAAGGGGGTTAATTTTGTTAATACACATTCTCGCTTCCTCATGCTCTTAAAGATATTAAGTACTTAATGAATACCTTCAAATGGAAGTAAACTTCAGGGAGGTAGGAATGATTGTATTTAACCAAGGTTGTTTTCTTTAGTGCCAAGACCATTATATGCTGAAGTAACACAAGCAAATATTCAACTTGTATAAAGAATTTTCCCCCGGTTCCTTCAAACGCTTTCTTCCCCCACCTATACGTTTTTACGTTCCTTGTACTTCTTGCTAAGTCTCACCGGCAGAAGGTGAGTAAAGCTTCCTAGGACTACCAGGTTATCGTCTATACCTGTCACAGCTGAGCTTTAGGGGAGGATGTAAAAGCTCGCGCTGTGCCCCCGTTGCAGCTTTGGGTATGCAGCTTGCCAGTGAAGCTGCGGTAACGCCAGACAACTGCTGGGGCTGTATTTTGTCTTTTCAATAAGTCAGTACCGCCACAGAAGGAAGCGATCCTTGGCTCGGTGGTCATGCTTCCGCGCCGTGCTCTCCCCTGCGCGCTGGCAGAAGCACGTGTGCGGCCTCACACCGAGCGACGGAGGGACCCGACGTTGCAGGAAGGTGGCTGGGGATAGAAACGAGCGGAGGAGAGGACGGGAGAAGCAGAAGCGCTTCTGGTAGCGGTGCTGACTCTGCTGGTTTAAAATGTTCTTTGAACTGTAGGTTGATCTGATGCTCTGCCAAGAAGTTGCCTTTCCGATGGGTCAGTTTGCTTTGGCGTAAGAGGGTTAGGCAGGAATACTATAAGCCGTTATCGCTGTTGGACCTAACAGCCATCTGGGTGATGTCCCAGGAGGGGTAAATGGCACAAGAGGATTGACGCTGAACCGGGCAGCAGCTGAAGAACTTCCATTCCATGAGGAGCACTCCAGGAGGCAACTGGCAGAAGCAGCATGGACTTCCTTGGGTGATTTTCAGACAATAGCAGTGATTCTTAGTGCCTGTCGTATGGAAAAAAAGTGACTGACTTTCAACTGGCTTAGAAAAGGTTGGTGATTTCTGTGGCGTACAAGAAATCTGTGGGCTTTTCTGGCGTGGTGAAAATATGCAGGGTGACACTATGATAAGTGCTGGGAGCAGAAGCGGTGTGCGTGCACGTTTGTAGCACTCCACGGGATACAAAACGCCTCTAGCTCAGGGGTGGAGGAGAAAAAGAACTGAGGGAATTGGGCTCTGCAGGGAAACACTTGAAGAACCAAGCATGGAAGGCTTAGTATTGTGTTCTTTTATGAGAGTTAGAATTACAAATGAGCCTCTAAAAGAAAGGTAGTTATGGTATACGTATGCTTTGTGGAGAGGAGCAGTCCCTATGCTGTTTTGCTTAGCAGACAACTAATTTCATCTCCCCCCCACCACAACTTTTTGGTAGGCATGGAAGAGGAAAAGGGAAGCGTCAAAAACCTTTGTTGTTCTAAAATACAAGAATCCAGTTGAGAGGAACGGAGGAGGTGCGCTGATTAAATCTGAGCTTCCGTCACCGTAAGTAGCAGGGATCAGCCATGTGGGCTGGGAAATAATGACAGCGTTGGTTCTGATTGCGGAGGAACAAAGCTTGCTTGAAGGCTTCAGCCGCGCGGGCCCTCAACGTTTACGGCGCAGCGCTGGCTTCTGCTACTGCTCGTCCCGGCTTACTTTATTTAAGGAATGACGGAATCTGAGTGTGTACAGTAGGAACTGTATTTAGGGTATAGTTTCTTTTTACTGGACCTCATGTGTTCATTTGGCTTATGTTTTAATGAATAAAACAAGTATGCGGTCGGGTATGTGTCTTAGAGGTACGAACACAGGTATTTGGCTTATGTTTTAATGAATAAAACAAATCATGCGTTGCAAAGAAACTCACATCATCTATGCAACAGTATTAGCTACCAGCTGCTTAATGCGGTATGGTCAGGTATGTGTCTTAGAGGTACGAATTTTAAGAGATTGCTACTGATTAAGCACCGGGTCAAGCCTTGCTTTCTTCATACTTTGGCACACGGTAAACTAAAAAAGAAGCTTGCCCTCAACTTTGTGCTTTCAGAGGCGTGGGGGGGCCATGCGGTGTTGCGGTTTCTGTGCTGTTTGTGGCCTTCGGTCTGCTCGCAAAGAGGGGAAAAGGTTAATAACGTGTCATAGCAATACACCAGCTTTTTACAACTGTAAGGAGTCAAAGTTACCGTTCATACTCTCATAGAAAGTGTTGATGACTGTGAGATTAGATACGAGCACAGGTCTCCGTTCTCAAACAATGAGAAGAGCACTCTGCGTTTCCCCACAAAATACTATTTCAAAGCTTTCAGCCACCGTAGGTAGTAATTGTGGTTATTGAATACTCAGCTGAGATTAAAAAACAAGAAAGATTAGAGCTTTCTGAAGTGTTTTCAGCCTGCAAAAAATTCACTGACGTGTATAGTGATCCTCATCTTGATAATTATGGTCAACCTCACCGTGTAATTTTGGCTACGACTTTATCCTTGATCCAGAGCACGGCACTACCGGCACCTGCAGCTCAGTGGTCAGGGCGTAATAAGGAGTAAGGAAGATCTGGTTGCTGCTGCTTTACTCGCATAATAGGATTTGAAACCACATTTCTCATTAGCATTTCCTAACTGCCAGGCTGCGCAAGGGTATTCTTCTTCTTTTGGCAGCTTGCGAATGTAGCCTTCCTTCAGTTCCTTTGCTTTTCTCATAGTTGCACTGCTGAATTTGACCACAGAGTCTGCCTGTGCTGCTTACGTGACTGTGGAATGAAATGGAGTTACTTCAGAAATGCGTTTGGATTGCTGTGTCTGCAGCCATTGGACCCACTCCCATTAAATGCCTCCTGTGAAGTGCTAAGTGCTTTAAATCCTACTGGGAATTACAAGCTTGAACTGCCTCTGTGGATGGACAAATAAAAGACCAGAAAGCTGCCTGTTTATTTTGCAATTTAAATGACTATGAACTGCTTAGAGACAAGTAAAGTGATCAAAATTAGAGAGCGCTGAACTCGCTGCAAGTTACTCCAATACCTGAGTATCGCTTATGATGCTTGCAATATGGAAAAGAGCAGAATGCCTGAGGGCAATGGCAGTATCTGTTGCTGTCACCTGCCTGATGTACCGTGAAAAATACCGTAGGATTGTGAAAAATAGGTTGGCAGTTCAGTTACAATAGACTGTAGCTTTATATTTTTTGCCTTGGGTGGAATAGGGATACTAGGAAGCGGAAGATACAGTTTCCATGGCTGGAATTTATGAGAGAGAAAGTATCCTATTCCTATTTAATGCGAAAAGGATTTAGATGCTAACTTCCTTAGGTTGCTTTTTTTGAAAATCCTAGCTCTTATTTCATTAATTTTCTTTTCCTTTTTGAATGAGGTTACAAAAGCTCCAAGTTTAGTGAAGACTCGCTCATCAGAAGCCAGCAGAGGTACTAAGTCAAGGACAAATATAATTTGCGAGCCACACGTCATCGACAACCATTTTGGTCTACTTGTGCCGTTGGTTTTCTGGTTGATACCAGTTATCCCAGAGGAGAGGAGGGGAGTCCAGGGTTCAGGACAGCTGTATCAGCCTGGAATAATCCTGATTGAATAGACGCATCCTGTGTAAATTTGGCTAAGTCCTCTGATTTCTCTGTGCTGCTAATACCTCAGCGGGGCTAGATAAGGTTACAGTAAAGAGAAGGCAGATATGCACTCAAATTTTGAAATAACGGGCTCCACAGAAACACCCAAGGTCGTAGTCTGGGGAAATGCGAAACGATCAGAAAGGAAGGACTCTCTTATGGATACTTGCGAAATACGGTTTGTTTTGATGTCTTTGTTGCTATGAGAAAAAAGTTATCGGAGAAGTTTGTCACACAGCGCCTTGGCTTAACTAGCCAAGTCCAAAATATCTGACTTATGTAGACAGTCAGCTAAGGGATGTAATAGTATTCCAGCTACTAATCTTCTTCTTGTACCAGGGTAAGGTAGGAATGTGTGTCTTCAGAGCTGATATTTGTAATTGATACGGCTCTTGTGCTTACAGAATGGACTCAATGCTCTGCACCTGGCGGCTAAAGAAGGCCATGTGGGACTGGTACAAGAATTATTGGAAAGAGGGTCGGCTGTGGATTCTGCCACTAAGGTAATTCATGCACGTCTGTAAGGTTATTCACAAAAAGTCAAATACGTGGGAGAAATTTAGAAGAAAAAAAATCATTAAAGTACAAAATAAGATAATATAAATAGCTCACCGTTATTTAAAATGTTATTTCTGTTATGGCCTGCGAGTCTATGTTCTTTGCTGGATGAAGCTCATCGGTAGTAAATGACGGGGGAAAGCTTATTGTTTGTGCAATCTGTTTACAGGGGAAGCATTACAAGGTTTTAGCAATGCCAGATTTTTCAAAGTAGTAGATTTTTTTCAAATCTGTGAAGATTGGTGATTGACTGTATCCTATACAGAGCCTTTTCACTCAAGGGCACGATGGAAAAAACACCTGTGTGATGATTTGTTTTGCCTTCTGCCTTTCCACAGGCAGGCGCATGCGTATGTCCAAAACGTTTACTCAATGTGGGTCTTGTCTGTGGGTGGTAAATCCCTTGTGATGGGCCACATTTGTTGGCTTGAACGATGGAACGTTTGACTGCTGGTGTCTAGGTTGGCTGGCTGTGCTCAGCCTTTGCATTCAGTTGCCACCGTTGTGTCCCTGCGGGTCTCTTATTTTTTATGATTTCTGATGCACAGGATCCTCCATCCAGGTTAACGCTTGGTCCTCAGCTCAGAGCGCTTCTTGCTGAACTTGTGATTTCCATCGTTGATGGAAAAACAGAAGTTCCCTCCTTCAAAAACATCTTCAAGTCACCCCTCAATGAAGCTGTTGGTAGAACCACCGGGTTCTAGATAGGACTTTGGGGTTTTGTTCTGGTTTTATGAGCCTTGTTTGTTTATTAAAGCCATTTAAATATTGCTCTCGGGATGAGAGATTGGCCTGGAAGAAATACAAGGCTTTTACAAAAGCAGTGGTCTGCTGCACTGCTGCTGCTTTGTGAGAGATTATTTCTATTGGGCAGTGCATCTCCTAACTTAAAGTTAACACCTTTCAAAAATAGGCATTTTAGTTTTATCCCAATTAGAGAAGAGAAAAAAAGGTGCGTTTAAAAGGTTGGTTTCTGTTACTTAACCGTCGGATCTTCCTTTTGGGTCTTGCACTGGGAAATCTCATTTTACATGTGATTCACAGCCTGAATTTTAGGACTCCTAGATTTCAGCTATTTTCTACAGGGCATGATCTCTGGACCCAAACAAAAAAACCTGTTAGCCCGTACTGAACTTTACCTAGAATTTTGTCCCATGCCCCAATTACATTCCGTAATTTCACTCAAAAGTTACGTTAGGATATTACACAACCACTCAAGAAATCTTCATGGCTGCAACTACCGGTTCTATGCCCCGTGGTGTTTATGGAACATCATGGAACTGTAAGGTGAAAGTGTACTCAAAAAGTGAATGTTATAAAGAACTGCTGGCTGAAATTATTCCTATAGAAGGGTAACGTCTTTCATTTTTTCCCTCCCTATAACAGAAAGGGAATACAGCCCTGCACATTGCATCCTTAGCAGGACAAGCTGAAGTTGTCAAGGTTCTGGTTAAGGAAGGAGCCAATATTAATGCACAATCTCAGGTATGATGCTATTTTCCCTTTTCTTTTCTAAAAGCTATTTGGTGAAATTTTGGAAGGTAGATCTGAGATGTTAGGCAGTGATTCCAAACGTCCAAGCCTGACAAATCAATCAAATTGAGGCTTATGTAGCATTCAATGGTAAGTAAAATAAAAGTAAATAACAAATTGAAGTCATTTTATACTCACTGTGTGGTGTGGGCACTCTCATTGTTGTTGACTGAAATCTTTTAGGAATTCCTAGTGTGCTTTAATAAATTGTTTCAGAAATTTTTCAAAGTGTAGAAATACTACTTCATATCTTTGAGTTGAGTTTGGTGGGTAGTTACAAAGAAGATAATTTCTCAGAGACTTGATTTATAGAATTGCTTTTCATGGTTATTTGTTGGCTAAAAACTTGCAGATAACTTATTCCAGGCTTCTGAACTCATTCTTTATGTGATCAGAAAGAATTTAAATCAAAAGTTTGGAACGTACATTTGAATAGGGGAAATTCACCTTGTCCTGGCTGGCAAACTGTCAACAGAGCCCTGCTGTTTCCACTGGCGTGAAGCTTGTCTGCTTTTCCAAAACGTGCCAACGAACGTGGTGATGTTGCAGAGATGTTTAGGAATAGGAACAATTTATCAAATAAATAATTTAATGTTTGTAAATGCTACCTTAACTATGGCAACTGGCTGTAGCTATGAAGAACTGAACAGATGGTATAGATGAGGACTATATACGATAAAGAAACTGCATCCTTCTGAAACATCTACTCAGCGTGTGAGATTCTGAAAGCAAATCATCGAGCTAATGAACAGTGTTCAAATTGAGTCCTAGTGCGTCATTCAATGACCACAAATGCCGCTTTTGCAGTAACGGCGTAAGCTAAGATGATGAGAAAAACAAGTCGCCCTTCAGGGGTAGATTAATTTCAAATTAAACTTCCCTAGCACTTGCTGTCTGTAGGCAAGATAATGGCCCTCAGCTCAATCTTGCTGGGATACGTGAGCAGAACAAGAAGAGAGTGATCTGATTTAACAGTGCAGCTAGGAACTACCTTTGGTTGGGCTCGATGATCTTAGAGGTCTTTTCCAACCTTTACGCTTCTATGATTCTGCCTTGGTTGAAGAGAGTTTCGGGATGCATAGCTGGGCCTGCGTGAGATGCTTTTCTCAATTCTCTTCTGTAACACGTTCCTTGATCGTTAGGAACACAGACAAGTTTGTAAAAAGTTTGGATTTGTTAGAATCCATCCGAAGGCTGCCTAGCTCCACATCTTGCTTGCCCAGACCTGGGAAACTGGGACCTAGAGGTTTTTTTGCTGTTTGATGTTGCAAACTTATGATGGACAGTGTAAAGTAAGTAGAGAGCAGGAGATGGATGAATAGGTTTATAAAATGAATAGGTTTGTGTGTATCTTCATCACATTTTGAGACAAGAGAGAGAAACTGAAAAGATCTTTAAGCTGCCTGACTCCAAGATTTTTTAAAATAGTTCCTTTAGTATGCTTTTTGCCCCAAAGCGACTGCTAAAGAGCTTTCTTAGGACAACTGATCATCAATTACTCCCCGTGCTCTACTTCCATTAAAGATGAGAAATGTTGTAATTCTGTTGCTCCAAAATTTAGCAAACTCCTTTCATAATGACCTAACTGGATGATTTCTTCATACATTTATCAGCCTTTTCATGTGTATAAGAAGATAAAAAAGTCTTTAATGTTAGGATTTTGAGCATGGTAAGAGAAATAATTGTAAAAATGATACTCTTGTGAAGCATTATCTCTCAAAAAGTCTTCATAAACGCTTTTCCTTATGCTGGAAAAAGAAATGAAGTTTTCTAAATTTAAAAATAAAAAAAAAATCCTGCCAGAATTGGAAGTTGTTTTCACAGGTATTATTTTATACACTGTTCTAGTTTTAAACACATTTATTGTTAGCACTGGATGTTCCGTGTAATGTGCACAGACCTGTTAACAGGCATTTGCTACTTGAATTAGTTGGCTGAATCTGATGGAGGACCTTTTTTCCCCGGTACCCCTCACTGGTTGCCTCCAGACAGCATGAATTCAAACTGCTGTGATATATATGCCCTGGATTTGCGCCACGTTGTCTTAATTAAACAAGTCCCGCTGACTTGAACGGGAGGGTGAGTCCTTAGTGCAGTGTGATCCGGCTGTGGGGGGCTTTGGGTTTTTGGCATTCCCAGTGGAAGGTGTCCCTTTGTCGGGACCGCTCTGTCCTGTGGTTTCCTGGTCAAAGCACTGCCGTGAGCCCAACAGTAAACGGAGGGAGAGGCGCGTGAACTAGATCTGCCTTCTTTTGGTAACTCTTGAATGCTCTTGGGTAGTATTTGTTGATAGTGTTCAGCACTTTGAATGGTATTTGTGGGTGAGCGTTCACACACACGTTCCCGTGTAGCCAGTAATTTGAATATGAATGAACAGATGTTGCCTATATGATGGGTGGGAAGGATGTATTTTTTTTTTAAGTCAGGGCTCTGAGCAGACTCCTAAGAATTTGGTTCTAACACTGATTTGCCTGAGGCTTGCCTTGGAAGATTAAATAAAAAAGTAATTTCTCTATACCCCATGAATGGAATGAGGATAATGAATGCTGCCTTTCTACTCAAGATTGCATTGACATGCTCAAGAATCACCTATGTCATTGAAAATAAATAAGGGGGGAGGGGGGAGAAGAAAAACAGAAACTTCAAAATTAATAAAGAATAGACACTTGATTTGTGATAAAAGATTAAGAAAGACGCAAGGATACCTAAGTACAGCTGGTAAAAAAAGAAAAATATGAAGTTATATAGAAAAAGGAAAAGGGAATGATTCAACAGAATATGCTTGAATGCTCAAATGTTAAGGTTTTTTTGTCAGGAATATGTCATTGATGAAAAAGTGGAGAGAGAAAAAAAATCATATCAGGAAAGAGCTTAATTGAGAAAGTCAGAAATGAACAAAAACAGAGATTAAAGGTAAATTTGAATAAAGTGAGAAATTATGACTGAAATGTTCTGTTTCTCTTTCTTATGTTGTCTCTCAATTCCATTTTTAAAAATAGATGCTCTATTGTCGCTCTTAAATCTTTTAAGAACAGTTGTTGGTATTGAGGGTATATTACGTCCTCTCCTTGGTATCTCTGTTATTTCACACTTTATTTTTTTTAGGCCCCTGCTAAATGCCATTTGTGGGTAGTATTTAATGCCAGTGAAGTTACTCAGGTTGCTCCATAACTTCCTCTCTAAAGAACTCGGTATCTGTCAAGGTCATTCTCATTTCCAGTGATGACAATTTGCCATAGTGTCAAAATTTCTTCACTGATGATAAACTGATAGATAGAAGAGTATTCTCAGCTCCAGCTTGTTCAATTTATTGTTTTTCCTTTCTTTTTCTCCATCAAATTGCATAAAAACACTGGCCTTTATCAAAACTTACCACCAGTGGCAGCTGAAATACCACACTGATTTCCCAGTTCCTTGCAACAACGAAATAACAGAATTATCTCAGAAAACGCTATTAAAAACATTGTAACCACTGAGATTACACACCCCATCTGTGCTATCTGAGACTGTTAGGCATTCCGGACTTAGATTTTACGGATTTTGTTTTTCTATTAGATTGCTGTGCCCTTCAGTTTCACGTTGGCCTTCAGAGCGGCTGTTTTGTTCATCTTCCTCTTTTAAAAAGTCTGTTCCTTTTGAGCTAATCCGTCATCACTGCTATTTTTAGAAAAGCAATTTCTATTTTGATACAAAGCCTAATTGCACCGTGATTACTAATTGAATTACTCCATTTTCACCTGCCTGCATATCATTTGAGAGCTGACATCTTCCTTGGAGTATGTTTCAGGCAAATGCTGAAACGAGGGCAAACCCAGAAACGGCCAGAGAGATCTAGAAGTTGCTGGTCCTTTTTGGCATACCTCCACCTCGAATTTGACAAGAGTGCCATTGTTTGGCGCGATTAGAATCGCCTTTTGCTACCAGTATTGCTGGAGAAAATATATTTATATAATGAGTGTCTATAAAAGGGTCACTTGGTTGACTCTGCTCATAGTTCAGTGAGCAGATCTAGACACGCGTCATCAAGTGAAAAAATCCATTTCTGCAATTTCTTTTCTTGATTTGACAGTGTTTTTTTGGTCATGTGTACATCTGACCAAGCTGCACTCGTTGATAACATAAAATCTCGTCTGGGGACTGGATGGTACAAACAATAATGTAAAGGGAGATCTTCTGGGACAGTCCAGGCTATTCCTTTGAGCTTTAATGGCATTTCCTTGCGGAGCAGAACAAGGTCATCCCATGGAATAATGTAATCTTCTGCAATACGTATTCGCTTGTGTGGGTGATCCTCTAGGCACTTCTGAATTGCAGTGGGGAATTCGGAAAAAGTCCTGGGGGGGACATAGAAATGTTCCATTACGCAGAACCATGGAAGGGGCATTGGCCGTTCTCTCCCCCCCACCCCCCCACCCATCACACACCTTCACGGAGCCCAGCCGTACCCTCCGTTCACAGCTGGATCACTTCTTTACCCCGAACCTATTCTTAGTTGTTGCTTGTGCATTAGAACCGTTGTAATCTTCCTCTCAATGAGTGTCTACCTTTGTGACATATTAGGAATTCTTAGGCCAATTTCTGATCTTTTTTCCCAGGTGGAAGAAGCGTCGCCAGATTTAGTTGGTCCAACCCTTCCCTTTGATAAATTACCGTTTGTCTTTATTGCTTTCTCTTAAAGTCAGAGTGTTATCATCTGACTCACGTATAGGCATCAGAGATGTCTGATAACTGGAATATTAGCCTGCCAAATGTGACGATACCCCTACTGCAATAATCGTAATAACTGAGTCTACCTGTGGACTGTTCCCTGCAGCAGCACTGCTGAGCTGTTCGGACCACGCATACCTTACGGAATGGATCCGTCCTGACCTTCCTCCGTTCCCAACAAGGCCAAAAAAAGTTAGCCTGGCACGAAGAGTTGCACCTCCTAGGATGAGGTGATTTGACAAATG